TTTAAAATCCAATGTGTGGATCACATAATATTTCAAAAATTTTAACTTTTGAGTATAGATGATCCGCACTGTATATGTAAACTCAATAAGTCAGTCTCACAATAAGTTGGTCAAAATTTTCACCCAATTTTCTTAATATTTAAGTAATTTAATTCGATAAATCAGTTTAGTTGATAAGTTGGTCATATGAGCTCACCCCCACATGACCGACTTTATCAAGTTTACATATGTAGACATATATAAAATGGCCTAACTTTGAAGCCTAATAGCTCAAAACTTTTCAATAAAATGGAAAGGTAAACTGACGGAAATGAAGCTTAGGTCTTTAGCTTTAATTCTATCAGTTTACTTTTTTTCTTTTTTTTTTTAATAAGTTACAAGCTTTTAAAGTCATGTGATAATAATTGACCATTATAGATGTCCTGCACTATATAAAAATATTTAACATCGTACAACAGTAATTTTTATTAGTAATATTATTTACTTCTGTCATACGATTTTCTTTTTCAGAAGGCCCAAGACACAAAAAATGGATCATAATTTAGCTAGGACTAGTATAATGTCAAGTTAGCAATGCATCATAACCACCACCGCCATTCTTTTTAATGACTAACTAGAGTGACGATGAATACAACTGCCATCACCATTCTTTTAAAATAATAACTACGCTTCCCCTTCCTTGCAGCATATTCATCTTCTTGTGTTCTTTTGGTTCTCTCCATTCTAAAAAAATAGTACAAGGAAGCCCCTCTTGTTTTTTTTTTGAAAAAACAAATTTATTTTTACAAGAAAGTATCTATTTATATCAACAATTTGATGATATGACGTAAATTCAATAATTGTCATAGTACCACTACTATTTAAAAAAAAATTTATGCAGCTATTATCTTTTTCCATATGCACTTCCATTTAAAGAATTGGGATGTGTTTGGATGCGAATCAATCTAAAGGTTACATATGAGACGAAAAATGCATTATTTTCAGTCAAATAAGCAGAATTCAATATAAATATATAAGGTAGATAAAATCTATTATATATAAAATATATGATATGGGGCATGCTGCAACAAAACCAGACAAAGTGAACATTGGTATTGCCCAAAAATTTCAGGGATCAAAGTTTAGTCATTATTATCACAATTACATTGTAATTATAATTTAACAGTCCAATTTGTTATCTTAAGTGATATATAGAATTACCTCTAGATAAAAATAGTTAATATGAAACTCATTTACATCAGGTCTACTATGGAACCTAAGAACTATAGCACCATTAGAAGTATTCTAAAAAAAGAACAAGGTGAAAAAATTGCTCCTTACATTTTTAAATTAGCAGATACCAAATCTTTGCAAACATATTTAGACAAAGAAAGGATTACCTATGAAATTTACCATGAAGAAAGAAAAATAATAAGCAATAAACGAACCTTAACATCAGCTCATGATGAACCAAGAAAGAAAAGAAGACTGGCAGAATAAACAATCAAATCATTATTAATCATCATCATCATCATCATTGCCATTGTCACCATTATCATTTTTATTTACCTCTTCAGATTGTAAATTCATCATCTCTTATTTGGAAATGAATACCAATAATATTCACCAATTCAACATAACCTCTATATTGTATATATATCACCAGGAAATTAAAAAAAGTTGTAAATTTAATATGATAAACACGACAATGATCGATGCCATTTTAACATTAGGTGTTGTTTGACGCCTTGTTAAGTGTTGTAAATTTATTATATAAAAATTTTTCCATTAAAATTTTTTTTATACAAATTTATAATATTTAAAATATTTATATTAGAATTTAATGATAAATTTACAATTTATTTTAAAAATAAATAAATTTATATTGGGTTTTCCAAAACATGAATTGGGAAATAATACAATAATTTGAGTGATTTGATTGGTTCTCTTGTTGTACTGACATGTCCTTATAACGGATGTCACTATAACAGGATAAATTTTATAATTATAAAAAAATTTTTTGTCCAATTATGTCGTTATAGTCTTATAACGGGATACATAATGAATGTCATTATAACAGGAGTAAATTTATATTTATAAAATGTGTTTTTGAAAAAATGTCACTATAACAAGATTGTCACTATAACGAGCTGTCCTTATAACGGGAGTGACCTGTATAAAATTAATGTTATGTAACTTTCAAATATATTCATCAGCACATTCAATGTCATGCGCTGATTAACATAAAATCACGTTGTTCTGCAAAGACAACATCAATATGATAAAACGCTAATGTGGACCAATGTGTAGAACAATGCATTAATGTAAATTATTACATAAAACAACATGTAAATCAATGTGTAGAATGCATAGCATTGTATTATTTATTTATTATATAACACGTAGTATATATATTTTATATAATGTTTATAAATAAAATATAAAAATAAAACAAGAATTGCCAAAGACCAGAATGTTTATTAAATATTGACACATAAAAACAATTATTTGTTTGAGCGAAGGAATAAGAACCGGTAACAAAATTTTAACCCATGCAATTGTTGATTGACCAATCAAAATTGTGAATTTGATAACATAAAAATAAATGTTGGTTTGATTCATTTTGTCAACAATCACTTCACCGACAGTTGTTTTGTTAACAAATGGTTCGAATTTAATAAGTTAAAGAGTTGGTTTTCGACTTGGTTGAAGAACAACTCTCTTTCTAACTCTTCTCTTGACTAGAGATGGGCAGATCAGTACTATACGTATAATACTATACGTATAGTGATACGTATAGTGCGTATAGTTCTAGAAAA